TTTTTTTTTTTTTTTTTTTTTAGTATTCGTGAAGGGAAACACTGATTCGAGACAGTCGTCGAGATAATAATTTTTTTACATTGCGTTTGGTTCGATTAAACCTGCGAAGGTTTTAATGGAAAATTCCTATTAGAGAAATACTGAAAGAAATATGAAAAAATTCATTTGTTGATATTTTATTAACAAATCTACAGCTCCGAAAAAGAACATATATCGATCAGGTGAAATAAACGAATTATTGTAAATAATAGTAGAAATTACTAACATTTATCAAAAAATGGCTCTTTAAAACAAATAACATAATATTTTACCTAAAAGACCAGAAAATTCTATAAAAATCACTAGACGTTCATATTTCTACGAACACAACTCAAACGATTATTTAATTCAAATCATCAAACATACATTTCAAAGACACATTTCGACAATTTTGCGCTTTCAAAAGCTACACAGCCAATCTCGCCGATCACCGTTTGATGGTCAAAAAATCTGCAGACACGTGGCCCATCACGATTCGCTTGGTAATTCTATTGAAATTCAAACGAGCACAAAACACAGCCGTATCTCGCGGTTAGAAATTATATTTCCACGTTCATCGATCGTGCCGGCAACAGTCGTATTCGATTCTCCAATGAATGCGAATCATTGTAGTCGGTAATCGTTGCTCGCGATACCGATATCTCTCGCTCGGCCGAATATATTTCCTCCGGCGTCGATTGATGAACGGTTTATAAATGGACTGTCGAGCAATAACACAGGGATTTTTTTCGCGGCGGGGAAGTGTGCCGGGCCGAGGGGGTTGAATTCTTTCGTCTCCCCCTTTCGCCAACAATCAAAGGTCGGCCGATCGCCTAGAGGAACGTTCCAAGCCGAGAGAGAACCGATCGATTAATCGCCCGGACGTTTGTCTGATCTCTCTATTTTACAGTCTATAGTTTGTAATTTACGGCCGCAACGTGAAGGAGAGTCTTCGGAGAATTTTCGTGCGAGAGATTTGTTCCATCTATCTAATATATTATTATAACTGCATCACACAGGTCTCTTTTTCTCTCTCGTTTCAATTTCTTCGAGACATTGAAATGCCTTCAATTCAGAGGAAATTATATTATATTTTTACGTACGGCCTTTCAACGAGAGATGCAACGTTCGACTCTTTTTTTAATTTTTTTTTAACAAAAGTTTGGGGGAAACTTCTCTCCGACCCGTTTCATCGTGTCGATGATTTACAGTGAAAGAGGACGAAGGTCGTACGCTGTGGTTGGACACGCAAAGCCATGCCAGCAGCAGTGCCAGTTCCGCGGACGACGACTACGCCTGGCAGTGGCCCACCAGTTTCTGGTCACAATTCAAAGTGAGTACCATTTTGCAGACGTTTCCCAGCGGTTAGACTGCAACTGCAACTGCACTGCGCTCGATGCTCATGCAGCGTATACACAGATACTCGTCCCTTTGTCTCGAATGATTTATAAAATAACACAAAAAAGAAAGAGAAGAAAATTCTCTGAATCCTGATGTTTGAGTTGAGAATTTTGCGAAAAAAGAAAACAACTACGAATGTCTTGATCTAAGAATATTTAAAATGTTCGAAGACTCTAAGAATATTCAAGATATTCGAACTTTTATATAGTTAACAAAGGACGTTAATTTAAAAGAGACGATTGAAATCCTACGAAATCGGCATGGATCGTTGAGATTATTTTTAAAAATTCGAAGATTGAACGGCCGAAATGAAATAGCGTGTCTTATCATTGTATCATTTTTAACAACGATACGTGCAAGTAGATACTTTTATAACAGTCGGACAGTGATTTTCAGTGAGAAGGAGGATGCAAAGGTCGGACGACTGAACGTGTAAAATGGCGGAGTTTACGGTTCAAAAGGCCAAAGAGGCGTATCGTTAGGGAACGAAATGAACCGGACACGGTTCCGTTATTTCCCGAGAAAACGTGACGTCGGTTTAGCAATTGCAAACAGAATCGTCACGAGATCGTCCCGCATGATGCTCCGGCTCTCGTTAACTTTCTGATTTCACTTCCCTTGCCGCGTGTTGCGCCCTGCCATCTGGAATATTTCCCTTCCGTCCGCGCGACTTTAACTCCTTGGCAGGCGTGAACATATTGAAATTAAATAACGAACCAGTGATAGAAATAAAAATCTTTATATATCTAGGATAAATAATAATCAATAATTACGTATGTAGAATCATTCAGTTAACAACCGCACGGAGGAGCAAAAAGAGAGTGAATTTCGAAACCACAGAGTCAAAAATTGCTAATAAATATTATTATATATACAAATGTCGATTGGGAGATATATCTGGGAGAAGAAGGACAAAAGGAACAAACAAAAAAAAAAATTGATGGAAAAGTCGGAAGATCGACGCCTGATAGAAAGAACGAAGTTTGAAGGAAAGTTCATCGAAACGAATGACGATAAAGATCAATCGAGAACGCAGCAGCGAGGAGAGAGAAATTTTCTTGGTGAAATGAAAAATGTCCGCGGCGACATTCAGCGAAGCGAGCGACCAGCCGTTGGAAATTAAGTAGGGCGATGGCGTTGATTTCCTCGGAAACGCAACGACACGGCTGGAATTGGCCTTAACGACGACAGCCACCGTTGAGAGAACCCGAAGGAGAGATCAAAAAGTTCGATTGCATTGCTCGCTTAATAGAGCA